ACTTTTACTTGATTTTTCAATAACCCAAAAAACAAGGTGTTTCTGATTTAGAAAAAAAAAAAAGAGAGACAAATTTAAAGATAATACCTCCACATGTTGGTCAGATAATTTAATTTCCACATCATGTTGCTGAAGCCAGCCGGGAAGCCAAGCAGCCTCCTACATCAATCAATTGTTCAAGTCAATTAATCCCCTTTTCACTTTATTTCCATTTCTTTTCAAATTATTGAGCTTGCGAGTGGTGATTGAAACTGAAACTTCGCATAGATTGTGATTTTGGTATAGGCATAGCTTATTGAATTTTCAGTATGCATAAAACTTCAAAAAATCGCGAAAGAAAAAATAGTGATGGATTGGAAAGCATACCTCAGAGAATTGAGGAGGACGAAACCCTAGCAAGCTCATTGAATGCAATCACTCTACTCTATTCACCCAATGAGCTATCACTGTGAGCAGGAGCAGAAAAATGCACAAACACGCGCCAGTTTTTCTTCGCGCCAAAAACTTGCATTGGGCCTCGGCCTTTACACATAAATTGGGCCAAGTTATGAGTTAGCGCGCTAGCTTTACGGCCCAATAAGCCCAGTTTACACTTTCTTTTTCTTTTTAATTTTACTTTCAGACTTTTATCGAGGATGTTTTTTAAAATATTTTCTCTTAAAAAAAAATAAAGATGAAGTACGAAATGGACCAACTTTGGAAGTTTATTACCAATTTCGTTGTCTTCAACTAAAGCTGAAGGAAGTGAAGAAAATGCTTGGAAAAATGTGGGTGAAAAAAAAACGCAAACTTTACACGCAAAAATGTGAACAAGAAAATGAAAGGGGTATGCCAGAAGAAAGGAGACAGAAAGCAATATTAGAATATTAGTATATGAAATTTGAAGTTGTATTTGGGTATAAATTTTATTGGGAAAAATTGAAGTTTGCGAGTGAAAATTATTATTTCATTTGAATTACCCTTCAGAAGACCATAATTTGTACCGTAAGATTAAAATTTAAAAGTAACCTAGATGGAAGGTAGTTTTTTTTACCATCAAGGAGTACGGTGAAATATTAATATTGCTCCATCTTTAATAAGAGTCTTGGATTCGTGTCCTCAAAATTTGTTCTAATACAATCCTGATAGGGGCACTTTAAACGTCCCGACCTGAGTTTTTACTATGCAAAAAATAGTTAAACAAAAAGAGAAAAAAACTATCAGCTAAATGCCTAAAATACATAGGATTCGTGATGTATGGGATCTTCTTTATCACGCTCCCAAACTTGCTTTACAGAAGTGCCAACTGTTTAAGTTATAAGAATTTTCATGAAATAGTCGCTTACCTAACCGTATAAGTTAAATATAACTGGTGAATATACAATTTATGTGTAGTTTGTATATAATTATATTTAATTAATATATAATTTATGTATACTGACTCGCAAAAATAAACAGTACTTGTTATTTGTATGGTTCAAAATAAGATCAGAGAAATTCGACACGCGGAGACAACATGCCGAGGTCGGGCAGGCTGAGGTCGGACAGTCATCAATAATTCCGAGGTCGGGCAGGCCGAGGTCGTACAGTCATCAATAAGGCCGAGGTCGGACAGTCGTCAATAAGGCCGAGGTCGGGCAGTGATGAAACAGCTAGTTTGCTTTGGGATCCTCAAAGGGAATATTACTTTTTTAGGATTTTCTATGGATACCCCTTATAAATAGGAAGAGAGGACTTCCCAAAAAGGGGGCTCTCTCTCCCTCTCCCTTCCCCTCTCTCTAGAAAATATGTAAACACACCTCTCTAAAGTGATTAGAGGATGTGTGATCCCATACCTTTATCATATCCAAAAAGGGTCTTAAGGTTCTTGTATTTCTCTATCATTCACGTTGATCAAATGAAAGACGACCCGTCTCACTCAAGATTGGGTGAATCTTTTCCTTTATTTACATTTTATTACCATTTAATGTTACTTAATGCATCTCTCTTTATGCAATTAAATCTGGCCATAATCACTGCAACCATTCATACTCAGCTATATTTTTCTATTCATATTATTCATCTCGGATCTAGAGTTAATTATCCTTAACTAGGATTTACCCTCCATCTTCTTATTTAATTAGTTTAAACAAAAAAGGTCTCATACTTTTTTGCTCAAACAAGCTCTATGAACCTCAAAGATACTTTTTCAGAAGNTATATATATATATTCCGTTTCAAAGAATTTGGTTTCTATTGTATCCGACAGCAACAACTCAACCTCCACATCTCCGTTTTCACACACTTTACTTCTCCTATTTATGCCGACAGATCAAAAATTGTCATGAGATTTTATATGCTAATAGTGTATAAGATTCTGTTTTACACTATTAGGTCAATTGATGTATAATATTTAATATATTAATTTTATAAGAAAACCGGTATATATACTAACTAAAAAAAGAGTAATAACTATTATAATAGATTAAATTATACCTTTAATGTAAAAAAATTCTAAACTATCAGTTATATAAAAATTAAGTTCTATATTTTGTCCTACGTATACTTGAGTGTAAGATTATACTTTTCTATAAGTTCTTTCCTTTGAACTTTTCTCTCTTCATTATTGACGGAGCTATATATGTTAACCACTAAAAGCTCACCTGCACCCCAAAAAAAAACAAGAAGGAATTTTTTCTACATATATTTTTCAACTTAAGTGCTGTGATTATGTTTTTTTTAGCCAAGGGTCTATTGAAAATATACTTTCTACTTTCACAAGGTAGGGAGTAAGGTCTGCGTATACGTTATCTTTTCGAACCTCACTTGTCGGGTTACACTGAGTATGTTGCTATGGTTGTTGTATTATCTCAACTTAGTCAAAATCAAAGTTTGTTGTGTATCCAATTTAGACGTCTATTAGCTGGTTATGAAGAAATTAGCTACGACAGCTGTAAATAAACACACACCACACTCTCCCTCTCTCTCTTTTTGAACTTGCACTTTACTTTTTAATTACCAAAAAAATCAAATTATGTACTCCATTAGTTAATGTTTTAGGGTAAATGTATCACTAAACAAGCATTAGATTGTTAATCATGTAAAGCAATAAGCAAAAGTAGGACACTGCCAATTCATGTTGGACCCATATTCTTAGCTATTTGGTTGTCATTTTGCTCAAAACAGCTCAGGTAAGATCATATCTTTGCAACCTTGTCGTTTGCTTAAGCTTTAACTAAAAATAATTAAAGTTGATATTGTAATAAATTAATAATATGGTTGTAATATCAAAAGATACCTAGGTGCATGACACCTATATCTCCGTATTTATTTCCCTGAAAGATATATCTACAAGCCCTAATATAAGATTTATTTAGCTAATACAATTTACAAATAGGTATTATGATCAGCTATATAGTGTATAGGAAAAAATATGTTCATATTAAATACTCGCATAATAGAGCGATATGTGGAATCGGAGATATATGGAAAGCGAGACAGGTGGAAATCAAGTCCGGGGGCAACAATCTCGGTAACCCCCGAAGGGAATGTTGCTCATGAATGCTTGTCACCCGATAGCATTCAATGAAAAATATTCTGCAATATTAAATACATATTCCGTTATAGAGAATATGACATTCATAATATGCCGTTATACATTCTTCAATGGCCCTCATAGTTGTCATTTAAGAGGGGCTTGATCCTAGGACTTTGTTCCCTAGGTGTAGCTATAAATAGTGAGTTCAACAACCATTATAAGGGAAAAATTTTCTGACAAACTTATGCTATACGCTACTCAAAAGCTCAAGAACATTTTATTTCTTGCTTATTAATATTGCTATTATCGCCCCCGGAAGCTCTGCTCCTGGAACCAAGCTATCTGCTATTTTATTTCGATTTCGACGATATGTCTTGCATTCTTATTTAATTTCTGTATCATTTTGGGATCAAATTGCTTTGTTTGTATATAAACCACATATAAATTTAACTGTATCATTTTACGGGTAAACATATAGAAGGGTCAAGACTTAAAAAGTACCAGTATCAAAAATAAATACTCCACCAGGTAACTCTATCCACCAAAGCTTGGATAGATTGGAGAAAATCACTTAATATTTTTTGCTTCCGCTGCGATTTAAACTCAAGACCTCATGGTTTTCACTCACTTCATTGATCACCAGACCATAGTATTTTAACTTTAACCTCAATGACACTCTCCTATAGAAATGACATGGATGTTTAAGACTATACAATTAACTCCCTTATAAAAATAACATGATTGTTTAAGACTATACATTTTATATAATATTTTTGTAGGCAGATAACAAATTTATAGACACAAGAATAAACATGGAAACATTATAAAGAAAACAATTAGATGAGAATACAAGTGCGACATTGAAAGGCCAACAACGCACAGCAACTCTTTGCTTTAAAGTCTTGTCGTCAAAGTTATTTCCACTCAAAAGACAAATTAACATATATGAATATAAAATAATAAGGACAAAGAGTAATCATATACGTAAGCAAAAACCCCTTTTCCCTTCACCAGATGCCAGTGCAAAACTTGTAAAATTTACACTCCTCTTTCTTTAAATACTCTCTTTGTATACCAAACTCCATACCCTTTTGCTCTCAAGCTTTTTCTCTCTCTCTCTGAGCTCCTCAGTTCAGGTATTTTTCTTTCATAATCACTCTTTTAATCTTTGCATTTTCTTTCTCATAATTCTCTGTTTTTCTTAACATTTGCATTATCCTGTTTATGTTTGTGTAAAAGGGTAGTGGGAATTTTGGGGAGGGAGGGAGGGTGGAGGGGGGGGGGGGTATGACTGGATCTGGATCTGTGTTCTTGTTTAGTCAGGTTGATGTACTGCATTGTTTTCCTCAAAGATATCTAAAGCTGATATACTGACATTGTAAAATCTGGAAATTTCCTTTTTTTGGTGTTTTTACTGTTGTATTTGCTTTTATCTTGTATTTTACTGCATGTTACCTGTATGTACTTACTACTTTATCTTGAATTCAATTATTTATTGATTTAGTTCTTGAGTTGATTAGTTATAATTTTACTAATTAGTGATCAATTTATACTCAGTTGTTACTTGCTCAAGTTTTTCAAGAAAATTTTAGTATGATTTTGTAATGTAAGTATGAAAATGCACCACACTATCCATCCAAATGTGTAGATAAAACTTACCCTTTTAGGAAATTCTGAAGTGGAAATGCTGAGATCTAAGTAAAAGGGTGTCTAGTTACAGAGGCGAATACAGGATTTGAAGCTTATGTGTTTTTGCATTGAATTTAAAAAAAAAATATAATAATAATTGGATTCATGGTCAAATATTTTGTTGTTATTTAGTGAACTTGGTAATATATAAATAAAGTCTGAGCAAAAGCTACTAGGTCCCGTGAACCTGTATGTCAAACTCTAGATCCGCCCCTGTCTAGATAACATATTCTTGTGATCTCAGATGAAAAAATGAGTTTAAGTGTGAGCAGCAATTCACTTGAATCGGTCCTGTTTGGCTTAGTTTTAACTAAAGATGCTAACTTTGTGCCCATTTGCTCTGATTTTGGTATTCTAATCATGGATCTTGAATTTGTAGGGGTCAGTGTATATTAGCACTAAGAGCAATGGGCTACTCTATTGTTTTCATTGTCTGTAGTTTACTTCTAGTCCTTCAATTGTCAACAGTAGCTGGGAAAGGCAAAGCTATAATTGGATCTCCGAGCCTAGCTCCAGCACCAGCACCAGGTCCTGAATACACAAACCTAACCGACTTACTCTCGGTTGCTGGCCCTTTCCACACATTCCTTAACTACCTTGAATCGACAAAAGTCATCGATACTTTCCAAAGCCAAGCCAACGACACAGAAGAAGGGATCACACTCTTCGTTCCCAAAGACTCAGCCTTTGCTTCACTCAAGAAGCCTTCCCTTTCCAACCTTACATCAGACCAACTCAAATCCCTTTGCCTTTTCCATGCATTGCCACATTACTATAGTCTAGCCGACTTCAAGAACCTTAGTGACATGAGCCCTATTAATACCTTCGCTGGAGGAAATTTATATTCCTTGAATTTCACCGATGATTCAGGGACCGTTCACCTTAACTCAGGATGGTCTAGAACTAAAGTTAGTAGTGCTGTTCGCACGACTTTTCCCGTTGCTGTTTATCAGGTGGACAAGGTACTTCTTCCTGAAGCCATTTTCGGAACAGATTTACCTCCAATGCCAGCACCAGCACCAGCGCCAGAAACAGATATCGCCCCTACTGCTGATAGTCCAGCTGCTGATCAAACAGGAAAAGCTAGAGCTGCAGCCTCTCCAGATTCTTCATCGCCATCGGCTTCTCACAGGATGATGAGCTGGGGCATTTTGAATCATTTGGTTTTGGCAATTGCTGGTGGATTCTTGATGTTGTTATTGTAAGGAAAATGATCTTATGGGGGGGAATTTTGTTAAATTATGTTGAAAATGGTACATCTGTTTCTTATTGGTTTTGATTATACTCCATTGGTGATTTAGTATTGGTTATTGGTTACAATGTTTTTGTATACATTCATGTATCATTTTTCATTTCTCATTCTCCATATTCTTTCTCTATTCTTTAGTTTTATCATTGTGGGCTCTTTTCCAAACTGCTGCCAATTCAGCTTTTATTATTGATTCCATTGCTTTGTTGCAAATCCTGTCCTCTAACAAACTTTTTTTCTTTTCTAATAAGGGCTGGTACGTAAAGAATCCCGCGTTCATGCTGGGTCCGGGGAAATGCTGCACGATGTAGGCAGTCTATCTTAATGAAAGTATATCTATTTTTTTTTTTTTTCCAGATACAACGTAAGAAATAAACATGAGATAATACGGGAACTAGATAGTTTGATTCTCGTATTTCAAATTTCGTCTTTCTTCTTAAATAGAGTGAGTATTACATCTCAATCAGATACAATGTCCAGAAACTTCCTACCCTACTTCACCAATATTAGGAGGAAACATTTTCATAACAATACCACATGTCAAAGAAGATACTCAAATGCAATATTAGGAAGACAGAACCAGAAGGTCGAGTGACAAATCGAAGTTTACTTCTAAAACACAAAAGTAGGGACCAAAGTGTTTATTGCATTAGATTCAGGGGAGGCGATTCTGAATAAAGGAAACCTAGTGGCCCAAAACAACAATTCTGAATTTATCTTCAACTTTTTCTTGATTAAATTGCCTGATTACAATCCCCAAGGATTTCTTAATCTTAATCTCTTACTCTTAGGTGACATTAATTTTATGTCCGACCTCTTTAATAGCTTGAGAGAAAAGGACAAAATCTTAACAAACATACTTTAATACAGCTTCTCTACTATGTGAGTGACGAGAGAGACAGAGAAACTGAAAAATAATACCCTGTCTCAAATAAATAGGAAAGATTTTTTACTATTTTACCCTTAGTTTTCAAGAACAAGTAATATTAAGGCTAGTATAGGAAGAAATAATTTGAGACGGAGATAGTACACACAACCATCCACTTCTTTAAAAATCTTACAACTGGAATCACATGGCCTCCAATTAATCTACTAATTAATTCACGTGTAAAAAATGATAGTAAAACAAAAGAGACAATGAGCTGTTAAGACTGGTAACTGTAGATCTCAACAAACCCATTTTTTATGAGATTTTAGAGAGGTCAACTAAAGTAGAAATAGTTTATTTATCACTAAAGATACCTCAACTCTACATGGGGGGCAAGTTCTTCTTCAGTAAGTTGATAGAAATTTCAAATTTTTAAGTTGAAGTTAGAAAAAAGTTTGTGATAGTTGAAATTGTGTTTGGATAATTAAATATATTTTTTTGGAGAAAATTAGCCAGTGAAAATTGAATATTTATGAGTAGAAGAACCACACCTTTTTGTTTTCGGAAATAATTTAACTTTAAATTTTTCAATTTACTATATGACATATTTTTATTGTCTCATAAATGTCATGACCTGCTTAAAACAGTCCAGGCACATAAGTTGTGAAGAAGGAAATACAAAATAAAAGATTCAAGAAGAATTCCTGTATTCCTTTATTTTCCTCTCTATTGCTCTGTGGTTCACATCTATGTTTAAATCATACAAGAATGACTTATAATTTAGGAGAGCCACTACCAAACATTTTCAATACCATGCTCCTGATCATAAGAATGTGCGGTTTTCACTTGCATTCTTTGTTCTACTGATAAATTCATCAATGGACATGTTCCCTAACTCCCCTGCAAACCTAGACCTAACAGTAACAGTTTGTGTTTCTACCTCTTTGGGCCCAACTACAGCCATCAATGGTATCTTCTGCTTCTCTGCATTCCTAATGAGTTTTGGTAGGCGTTCGCCACTGCAAACCTCGACCCGAATACCACTAGCTTTTAGTTTTTTTCCCACTTCATTGCAGTACTGGAGCTGTAAACACATGCACACATAAGTCAATCCGAGTCACCCTATGTATCAGCAGAAGCTAATAGACAGATCAAAATATAAAAGAAGACGATTACAATCGACCAGTTTCAAGACATAAACTTCATAATGAAGTCTTGTGGTACTGTTTGACTTGATGAAAATGACATGGATCTTGATCCATATTTTTTTTTTCTCCTGTCCGGTGCACAAAGCATCTCGCATTCACGCACGGTCCAGAGAAAGGCCGCACCCCAAAGGGTGTGATGTAGACAGCCTGCCCTAATGCAACCATTAGTGGCTGCTTCCACAGCTAGAACCCCTGACCTATAGGTCACAAGGAGGCAACTTTACCGTTGCTCCAAGGCTCCCCTTCATCTTGATCCATATTGTACAATCCAATAAAAAAAACCACGAATTATGTTAAAGGGTGACTACAGAAGTTAGTATAGCGTAAGCAGCAAATCTTTGGTTAGGGTGATAAACTTAACATGGTTTTGTGTAAATGGAAAACAAGAATTAGTCAAACAAGTATTGATTACCTGAGCATCAGTAACTGGTAAAACTCGAGCTTGGATGGGAGAAAGCCAAAGTGGAAAATCACCAGCATAGTTTTCTATGAGAACACCAAAAAAGCGCTCCAAAGATCCAAGAACTGCTCTATGGATCATGATAGGCCGCTTCCTCTCTTGATTTGAGTCAACATATGTAATGTCAAAGCGCTGGGGTAAATTGAAATCAACCTGTAGAAGTTCATGTGTCAGTGAAGGATCACAAAGAAATAGCGAGCTTGAAACAAGAAAATGAAGAGGAAAAAACACTTCAAGTTTGTGAATTATTTGTTCAAGCTCAAAACTTGATAAGAGTTTTGCAAACAGAGACCTGTATAGTTGAGCATTGCCACTTCCTTCCAAGAGCATCCTCAATTTTCAGATCAATCTTGGGACCATAGAAGGCCCCACCACCATCATCTATCTGATAGCTCCAACCTTTGTCTTCTAAAGCATCCTTAAGTGCAGATGTTGCTTTATCCCAAATCTCATCATCTCCCACAGCCTTTTCTGGCCTTGTTGAAAGGTTCACCTCATACTTGTCAAAACCAAATTGCTGTAATATTTCCTCGGTCAGATCTAACACACCCCTGATTTCATCTTTAATTTGATCCTCTAAACAGAAGATATGTGCATCATCCTGCAAAATCAATAAAGGGGTATTAGATTACAGTAATGCAAGTTGCTACTACTTAGGAGTTTCCGCCTGAAAGAACGAACACTTGAAGCAAACATTTTCTCAGAATCATATCATAAACTCGATCTTTCCTGTCTCTTTTCTGAGATAGGAAAAGCATTCTACCCAGAAGACTGTACATTACAACATCTTTTAATTATTATAGTTATAAATGTGGAAACTAAAATCTCCTACTGCGGTCGAGAAGATTACAAACAGGTAAAAAGTACGGTTAACAACTCCCCACCACCACTTCTAATGCAGGGAAAAAGAGTTCTATATTGATCTTTCACAAAGGCTGAAGTATCAAGGTAAAAGATCTAGTTATAGCAGGTTAGAAGCTGAAACTCCACAGCATCACAGTTAATTCACTCACACGTGTCCTTATACTTTTTTAGGGATCCTCTTGGAAAGTCATTGGCATGAATAGAGGAGAATGTGACTTGGCTCCAGAGTCAGATTTCAGACTTACAAATATTCCAGAAATTCTGCTTATACCATTTGGGGAAGATGAAAAATGCATTCAATTCTGCATTGGGCATAATTTGCAAGAAAGGTTTGACAGGCAAAGAGCACAAGGCGAAATTTTGGGACCAAGCTAAGAGCTGATGGAAGAACACCAAACATTAATGACAGAAACAGACTAGAAAGAGAGAATCAAAGTAGTCCGGTCCCTAAGAGGATGGCTGAGCGGTGGAGGCATAGGAGTAACAACCTAGAGGTCCCAAGTTCCTATCCCAACTACAAAACTCTACGTGATCTACTCCAGCCTTGGTGAGTAGGATTACTTGGCACATGTTTGTGGGCTGTAGTAGGCTGCCCGGTGAATTAGTATAGGTGCAAGCAAATTTGCCCAACACCACCGCAAAAGAAAAAAAGAAAGAAAGAATATCGAAGCAATATAAAGAAGTGCCTTCCTTTGTGTGTACATGTGTGTTTTTTTCCCTCTCTCCCTTCTCACGCAGTTCTTTGGAACTTCTATGGGGCACGTTATGGTCCCTAAAGTTTCTTCTGGAAGAAATTTCTGCTCTTTCTGGTGTCGTAGGCACCACTTCTCGTGGAGTCTTCCCCTTGGATGCCCTATGAAAATTTTGACCTAATAAAAAGAAACGAAAAACAATAAAATGACCTGTGGTTCTCTTAATTATGAAACTTTCCGTGTTTACTGGAAATACACATTTCAGCCAATAACAAAGATCAGATGTTGAGACTCAAGGCGGGTACCCCAAACCCCAAAAGATAGAACAAATTGATTTCTTCAACCACATTAGGTATGGTCTCTATGACGGAGAGAACGCAGAGCAGACAAAGACAAAATCCTAGCCTCCAAGACGAGGAGACAAATCACTTCTATCAACTATAACAAGTACATTGTGCTCCACAACATGGTTTACAAGAACGCATCTTCGTTTTTTCATATTAATTGGTGTATAAGCCGTAGGTCATCGTGGTTACAGCACAAGGAAAAACAAATAAAATGCACTACCCATTTTGTACACCCTTCCCCCATTCCTTCTCTTTCAGACAAGAATGCAATAACCGCTCACATTTAGGGATGATAACTGAAATCCAAGATACAGATGTTCAGGTAAATATAAATCTTATGTTTGAAAACATACCTGAGTAAAACCTCTTACACGGAAAAGGCCATGTAAGCTTCCAGATAACTCATATCTATACACTGTTCCAAGCTCTGCAACCCTGATTGGAAAATCCCGATAAGAGTGTAACTGCCTCTTATAGACCAATACATGATAAGGGCAGTTCATTGGCCGAAGCTGATAAAGCTCTTCCTCAATCTCCATCTGATCAAACATATTCTCTTTATAGAAGTCCAGATGACCGCTAATCTTCCAAAGATCTGCCTTAGCTACATGGGGAGTATAGAGTAAATCATAACCCCGCTCCATATGAATCTTTTTCCAAGTGTCTTCTATTATGTGCCTAATAATAGCTCCTTTGGGATGCCAGAACACTAAGCCTCCACCAGCTTCATCCTGCCAGTTTTACAATCAATGAGTTTCAATTCATGTAAGCATATGTAACAATGAAAAAGAAGTAATTGCATCTAAGGCTAGTTCCATCAAGAAGTGTACATATATCACAAGCTCGTAGATGGGTTAATCAAAAGAGACCTGCCTGTATGGAGAAGAGATCAAGATCTTGGCCAAGCCTCCGATGATCACGCCGTTTAGCTTCTTCTTTGAAGTGAAGGTATGCTTTTAATTGGTCCTCATTCTCCCATGCGGTGCCATAAATCCTTTGGAGCATTGGTTTTTTAACATCTCCTCTCCAGTAAGCACCAGCAACAGATTCAAGCTCAACAGCTTTTTTGTTAATCTTTCCTGTAGTTTCAACATGAGGTCCCGCACAAAGATCCCACCATTCATTACCTACAAAAGGCAAGCATTTGATAATGAGAAAAGCAATATATACTCTGTTGTAAAAGCATTGGTTTTATGGACTCATTCCCCACCAATAGATAGCAGTTGGTATTGGAGGAAATTAAATACAATCAAAGAGTTGATGAGAGACTGGTATGTACAGGGCAAGTATGTGCTCAACAATACAGGGGAGTATTCTATAAACTCAAGTTACATTGCACTAATAGGGAGTCAACAAAGAATGAAGATTGCAGACATGTTATGGTCAGCAGTAACTCAACCAAAGCACAGATTTATAGGATGGCTGGCAACTCAAGAGAAATTACTGACTAAAGATAGAATGATTGGAATGAACATACAGGTTGAAGATGCCAAATGTATACTGTGTAATGAAGATGCAATGGAGACTCAGGAGCATTTATTTGTACACTGTGCATGGACAAAAGCAGTACATCATGAACTGAGCAGATGGACAAACTATGAAGAACAAACTATAGGAGTGAGGCAAATGCTGGAGAAGATCAGAAGTAAACACTGGAAGCAATTCAGGAAAGAAATCGTAGCTGCAGTCCAACTAGCAAGAATATATCACACCTGGAGAGCTAGAAACAACAAAAAATTTCAGAGTAGGACAACAAATACTGACGAGATAGTTGTACAAATCAAAAGAGAAGTATTAGAAAGAATAGAATTACTACAAATGTCTAGGAAAGCACAGAAATGTAGGGAGTTCATAGGACATATTCAATGTAATTAGAATTTCTTTATTTGTTGGATGTAGGAGGCCTAATTTCTACTATGGGAATTAGGTGCTCTATAGGTGTATATGATGTTTGAAGTTAATGGTAATTCACATTGTTACCAAAAAAAAAAGCATTGGTTTATGTGTATGTTCTACAATCCGATCAAAATCTGTAAAATACGAGATGAAGCTCGTCTAGGTGCCTTCTAAAGGATGAATATGCAAATATTGGCTGAAGACCTACAGATTGAAGGGTAATTTTAGCTAGAACTCTAGAAGTGTAAACTTACCTTCTTTTGCCACCTCTTAAAAGTCTTAATCCCTTCTTCGACTGATCCTAATTTGTCAACTATATATGAAGTAATGCAGTAAAATGATTACAAGTAATCTCACCTATTCTACATTTTCTCAACATGTCACTAAGTGACTGTAGCTTTATGAAAGCTCAGCAGTTCTGAAGCACTTTTAAATTAAAAATAGTAATAATGATTATTAGTACTAAAGACAGTATGGAACTTGATTATTGCACTGCAAGGACTGATGACTCGAATCTGGCACCTCGAGGGTTGAGTCTGGATCCCTGGACGGTTGATTTGGATGAGACTACTATTCCCGATTCATATGCTCACACCTCAGACCACTGCAAACTTGTTAAAGCTTCCAGGATGGACAGGAGGGCAGTATAAGGCTTCAATGGCAAAGTTCGAGTTGGAGGAAGAGGTTCAGGAGGATTGGAAGTAAGATTTTGCAACAGATCAACTATCATAGGATCCAGCCAGGTTCAAGCCACCTGGCTTCCCGGTGCAAAATTCAGTTTCCTGTTTTTATTAGCGCTAACTATATCAATATGGTTTTTTCCAAAAAATACTACACCCTCCATTCTAGTTTATGTGAAACGGTATTCTAGTTTATGTTACCCTATTTCCTTATTAGCACTTCCCACAAAGAATGACACATTTCTATTTTAGAAATTATAACTTTAAACTTCCCATTTTAACCTTAATGAGAAGCTTTTATGGTCCTTTAGGACTACAAGTTCAAATATTATGGTATGTTTAAGACCACAAGTTTTAAAAGTCTTCCTTTCATACTTAACCTCCGTACCAAGTCAAATTACGTTTCATAAATTGGAATAGAGGGAGTATATCGATATGGTACATTGCTCCACCTAAACCCCAGATTTCAATTTCTGCATATGACTTAACTTGAGCAGAAGGTCTTTCTTAACAGCCTTTGTCATGGAAATGTCAAACTTCACTTAACCTTTTTATAAAACACTTCATATGAAATCAATTTGGTCCTCCACAAACAAAAGTTTCTATTTGTAGAAATGAAATTCTCTCAAAGTGAGAAATACTTGACTTGGTTACAAGTATAAGTGCATCTAGCACTCTACCAAATGGTCATTTGTTATATAACAATGACATCCAGATAGCTACTAAGATATAGGTCAACATGTATGATAGTAGCTCCTCAAGAAATAGATAAAGGTTCATTCTCTCAAAAATGCTCATGTGGAATACCACAATCTTCTGTCAAGATAATTTTGATAATGGGAGCCACTTACTTCAATCAATCACCAAGTAAGTATGGTCCTGAAAATATAGGGTTTATGGTTCTTGAATTACTCCCCCACAATCATTCCCATTTATGAGTCATTCGATCATAAAGTAAAAGCTTATATCGTCTGAATTAGAAGAACATGTACAATGTGCTAATGTAACATTTTAAATATACATTTCTCAAACTAAACAAAAGCAATTAATCGAAGTCTTACCAATATGATATATGGTAATTGGCTCCTCCTTTATGCTCTCTAAAATCTCTACCTTGTAAGGTTCATTGATAGCCATTATTCTTTTCTGAGCTTCGTCCCGGCTAACTTCTTCTCTAACCAGAGGCAAATTTCGGCTGATAATTCGATCCTACAGAAAATTCAAAATGTCAATTCTCTACCCAGAAATGACAGCTTCATTGACAAATCCAACTATTTTCTTATTCTTTTTTTAGGGGGTTGGATTATTATTGGGTAACTGAAAAAGAATGAGTCAGCTCACCATTTCCTTCTTAATCCTCTTCAGGTCTCTGTCAGTCAAAGGCTCCATATCGAAATCATAATAAAACCCATTATCAATCCAGGGCCCAATTGTCACTTTTGCATTTGGATAGAGCTTTTGGACTGCCATGGCCATAACATGAGCACACTGCAGCAAGAAATGCATTGACACACGCTCAGGATGGTAATTGATATTACTAAAATGCTGATCACTCTTAACTACAAAAACTCAGCATTCGACATGATCCCATGAGAGAGTAAAGTAACCAGTCCTTGCAAAAAAATATAGAATATGTTGCAATGACAAAACAAACTTCATTTCCAACAACATTAAAATTATAGAAAAACAATTACAAATCCAAATAATGTACAAGAAGAAGACTATGGGTTAGGATCAAAACCAATTACTTCAACACAATGGTCTTCAGCACAAAAAAGATAGCTTTCCGTGAAAAAATATTTTACCTTTGTAAATTACTTCATGGATTATTTTCCAATGTTGAAACGAGTGAAAAATTAGGTGGCATATGGTAATCTAGGAAACACTATAAGAACATTATTTTGAGTTACACTTGTCCCGGGTGTTGGCCAGCTATGTTGTATGGGGCAGAGGTGTTGGCGAGTCAAGAACTCTCATGCTCAGAAGATGAAAGCAGTGGAGATGAGGATGCTGAGGTGAATGTGTGGGCGTAGTAAGAGAGATATGATTAGGAACAAAGTTATTCGGGACAAGGTGGGAGTGGCCTCTGTGGACGATAGGATGAGGGAAGCGAGGCTAAGGTGGTACCGGCATTTGAAGAGGAGATGCACAAATGCCCCAGTGAGGAGGGGCGGGAGGTTGGATATTGTGGGTTCGAGGAAAGGTAGAGGTAGGCCGAAGAAGTATTGGGGAGAAGTCATTAGACAAGACATGGCATGTCTCCAACTTACCGAGTACATGACCCTAGATAGGAAGATATGGAGGTCAAAGATTAGGGTAGAAGGTTAGTAGGCCGTCGAGTTTAGGACTCCATATCTGCTACGTTTGTTTTGGTTGTTTGTTTTTTGTTTTCCATACCAATACTAGTATGTAGCATCTGTTGTTCCCCTTGCTTGGTTATATTACTGCTTTGTTATTATTGTTGTTAAAGTTCTTATCTTTATTAGTATTTCTGACCCGACCTCCTTATTACTGTTCTCCGGTTCAAACCTGCTAAGACTTGTTTTTCTTGAGCTGAGGGCCTTTTGGAAACAGCCTACCTACCTCCACAAGGTAGGGGTAAGGTATGCGCATACTTTATCCTTCCCAGACCCCACAATGGGATTACACTGAATATGTTGTTGTATTTGTCCCGAGTTGATCCGCAGTGTAACGTATGAGTAACTCATTAGCTTTGGCCTAGACCCTATATATGTGTTAAAAAATCCACTAGACATGTACAAATATTAAATTTATTAGCACTTGAGGTCATTGTCCTATAGTCGCAAATCCATAAAATTCAAATCTTGGTTCCACCTCTAAACTATCTGCGGCATTAAAGATGGCAACAATGTATTAGTGTTACTTATTTCTGTAATTGTCCCTCTTTTGGATGAAAATATTTTCAATTTTCATTATAATTTAACCTGGTATAACAAGTTACTTAGTATTACAATTTACCAAAAATTACCAATCAGTGCTATTAAATAGAGTTATCTGCATTTAACTTAAAGTCTAATAGCATAAATGGTAGTATTAATTTCTTCAATACCCAAATAAAACATCCAAAATATGAACATTACCGTGTGGCGAACTCTAAGGAGTGTGGCAGACGATTCGTTAGTGGGTAGGACAATTTTCTCAACTGGGGCATCACCATTTGTCCGTTCATCGGCGGCAGCAGGAGCTTCAGAAGAATCGGTGGCGACGGCATAGGTCGAGAAAGAATTGCTGTGACATCTCAGCAACTTGTTCCTAGTACTACTAGAGTTCTTAGACGGGTAAAGAACAAAAAGACTAGTGCTAAATTGACGAATAGGGAAGCTATAAAAGGTGTTTCTAATAGAGGAAGTGAAGAGAGAAGGGCGTGAAGATAGTGATAAAGCCATTGTTTTGCCCAGAGCCCCAACGTACTTCATTTTTGAGATTTTGGCTAATTATCTGCTGTGTTGTTGCTGTGGGTCTTTTGATTTCTGTGGTGGAGCTTTTGTTTCCTCATATTTCGCTCTTCACTTTTACCGCGATTAATAAACATTTTCATCGCCAATATTTATATTTTTGTTGGAAAAATCTGATTTGCTTGGACATTAGTTTTCATGTTATAAAACAATAAAAGAAAAGAACAATATTGCAAAGAAAAGTAGGGAGGGAGAATTCTTATTGATTTTGGAGTGAATTACAATGTAATAGAATCCTCTATTTACGGGGAGAGGGTAACTTAGCCACCAAGTAATAAATCTTATAATCTCTCTAAATATAGACATTCACCATAAATAAAATTTTATTTATAACATTTCCCCGGAATGTCTATTCAACGGATAAGTGCCTCGTTAAAACCTTAACTAAAATAAAACCCAATGGGAAAAAAATTCTAGAAAAGGAAAAAGAGTACACATATCTAATAATACGCCTTTTGGTTGCCTCGTTAAAACCTTGCAAGGAAAACTCAGTGGGACAAAACATTGAAAGGTAAAAAGAGTGCAACGCGCATTAACTCCCCCTGATGAGAGCATCAATTCACATCCTTGAGCCTTCGCATGCCAATCTTGTACACTAGCTTCTTGAAGGTTGACGTCGGTAGAGATTTGGTGAACAAATCAGCCATATTATCACTTGAACGAATTTGTTGTACATTAATATCACCATTCTTGAAGATCATGTGTGAAAAATAACTTTGGTGAAATGTGCTTTGTCTTATCTCCTTTTATTAATCCTCCCTTCAATTGAGCTATGCATGCTGCATTATCTTCATACAAAATTGTGGGTAGTTTGTCACACTTCAAACTATATTTGTCTCGAATAAGATGTATTATAGACCTCAACCACACACATTCTCGACTTGCCCAGGTAAAGCCAGATTTCAAAGGTAGAATGTATTGGTGGCGCGTCGACCTAGTTCTCCGTTCGGCGAATCTTCTTCTGGGGAATTCAACTCTTCTTTCATAGATTTGGAACATAATAAGCACCAGTAGCCGCTTCATGAATAGCAATTATCTCAGCATGATTAGATAAAGTGGCCACAATTGATTGCTTAGTTGATCGCCAAGATATGGCAGTGCCTCCACATGTAAACACATAGCCTGTTTGAGATCTAGCCTTGTGTGGGTCAGATAAATACCCAGCATCTGCATAACTCACAAGATCGGGACTGCAATTATTGCCATAAAATAAGTCCATATCAGTAGTTCCTTTTAGATACCGTAATATGTGTTTGATTCCATTACAATATCTCCTTGTAGGAGTAGAGCTATATCTTGCTAAGACATTAACTGAAAAAGTTATGTCAGGCCTTGTAGTGTTAGCAAGATACATTAGTGCACCAATTGCACTAAGATATGGTACTTCAGGACCAAGTAGCTCTTCATTCTCTTCTTGAGGTCAGAATGGATCCTTATTCACATCAATTGATCGAACAACCATCGGAGTGCTTAATGGATGTGCTCCATCCATGTAAAACCGTTTCAATACCTTTTCTATGTAGGCATATTGATGGACAAAAATTTTGTTTGTCAAATGTTCAATTTGCGAACCAAGACATAATTTTGTCTTTCTGAGATCTTTCATCTCGAATTCTTTCTTTAAATAATCAATTGCCTTGTGGAGTTCTATAGGAATTCCAATAAGGTTTATGTCATCAACATATACGGCAAGTACAACAAATTCCGATGTTGTCTTCTTTATAAAAATACATGGACAAATGGCATCATTTATATAACCTTCCTTTAATAAATACTCACTAAGACTATTATACCACATACGTCCTGATTGCTTTAGACCATACAAAGATATTTGCAATTCAATTGAAAACATTTCCCGGGACTTTGAATTATGTGCATTGGGCATTTTAAATCCCTCGGAAATTTTCATGTATATCTCATTATCAAGTGAGCCATAAAGGTAGGCGGTGACCACATCCATTAGATGCATGTCAAGCTTTTCATGGACAGCAAAACTAATGAGATAACGGAACGTTATAGCATCCATAACGGGTGAATATGTCTCTTCATAATCGACACCAGGCCTTTGTGAAAATCCTTGTGCAACAAGGCGATCCTTGTGCAACAAGGCGTGCCTTGTATCTTTGTACCTCATTTTTCTCATTCCTCTTGCGTACAAAGACCCATTTATAGCCAACAGGATTAACACCATTAGGTGTTTGAACTATAGGTAAAAAAAACTTCACGTTTCGCAAGTGAATTCAACTATGATTGGATTGCTTCTTGCCATTTTGGCCAATCACGTCTTTGTCGACATTCTCCAACAGATTGAGGTTCAAGATCCTCATTATCTTGCATAATGCTAGATGCAACATTATATGCAAAGGCATAATCCACCACTATATCCAATCGATTCAAATTTGTCTCGATATCGATTGGATTTATTGATAGTTCCTTATTTTCTTGAGTCTTGGGCTCAATGGTTTCCTCATGAATCTCAGAATTTGTTAAATCGTGGATTTCTTCATGAGACTCTTTTGTAGTGTCATTTTGCTAATTTGTTTTCCTTTTTATAGGATTTCGATATTTGGAACCCAATGGTCTGCCACGTTTTAAACGTGCTTTTGACTCATTAGCTATGACACTAGAAGATTGTCCAACCACGGGTACGAGGGAGGGCGAGAAATCGGCCACGAAGTCCGCCAGAATTTGGCACTTGATGGCCGTTCGAGGTTGATACTCGATATCATACCCCCCGAGTTCGATGGCCCATTCGGCCAATCTGCCCGATAGCTCAGGTTTGTGCAGTATGCTCCGGAGGGGGTATGTCGATAGAAATACAGATTGAAACATTCTCTGCAGGGATATGTGATTTTGTTATCCTTTTCAAATCCGTAAATGCGTCTGGCATTTGATTTGCTATTCTCTGCAAATGGATAATCGTTTGCACCTCTTTTTCACAAATACAGGCACGTGGATCAAGATGAGATAATGATGGATTTTTCCACAAAATTTTCCGTTTGGTTTCACCAACTTCTCACCCTAATTTTGGGAAAAGTGTCTCATCGAATCGACAGTCTGCAAATCGAGTAATGAATAAATTCCCCTGTTAATGTTTCAAGATAGCGAATAATGGAGGGCGATTCAAAATCCAACATATATTCCTAACCTTCTTTGGGGACCCATTTTGGTGCGATATGGCGGTGCTACATGCACATATACTGCGCATCCAAAAATTCTTAAATGGGATATATTAGGTTCATGACCCAAAACTAATTGCAACGGGGAATATTTATGATAATTTATCGGTCAGAGACGAACTAGCATTGTTGCATGTAAAATGGCGTGACCCCAAACAGAAGTGGGCAACCTCGTTTTCATGAGTAACAGTCTTGCTATCAATTGCAGACGTTTAATTAAAGACTCTACAAGGCCATTTTGAGTGTGAACATGAGGTACAGGATGTTCCACTTTATCTCAATTGATAAGCAATAATCATTAAATTATTGGGATGAAAACTCATCAGCATTATCAAGTCTAATAGACTTAATTGGATTATCGGAAAATTGCGCCCATAATCGAATTATTTGTGCCATTAATTTTGCAAACACAAGGTTGCGAGATGATAATAGGCATACATGAGAACATCTAGAAGATGCATCTATTAAGACCATAAAATATCTAAACGATCCACTAGGTGGGTGAATAGGTCCACAAATATCCCCTTGTATACGTTCCAAAAATCCAGGGGACTCAATCCTAACCTTTGTTGGTGATGGTCTAATAATTAACTTGCCTTGATAACAAGAAGTGCAAGAAAATTCATTATTTAAAAGAATCTTTAAATTCTTTAATGGATGCCCATTTGAGTTTTCTATAATTCGTCTCATCATAATTGATCCAGGATGTCCCAATCGATCATGCCAAATTACAAAAGTATTGGAATCGGTAACCTTTTGGCTTACGGTAGAATGTGCCTCAATTGCACTAATTCTTGTCCAATACAGGCCACAAGTTAAAGATGGGAACTTCTCAATAACCCTCTTTTGGCCAGAGACTTTCTTGGTAATGATGAGATATTCAAGATTATTCTCATCTATTGTCTCAATATGATATCCATTTCGGCGGATATCTTTAACACTCAACAAGTTCCTCTTGGACTTGGAGGAGAATATTGCATTATCTATCATAAGTATTGTTCCCTTAGGAAGAGTTATACTAGCTCTTCCAGAGCCTTCAATTAAATTACTACTATCAGAAATTGTAGTAACATCTGCCTTACACGTACTTAAATGAGAGAAATATTTCTTCTCTTTGAATATTGTATGTGTCGTACATGAATCAACTAAACAAATATTTTTACAATTGAACTTTGATCCAAGTTTGCTTTGTGGAATATCCATATTTGCTTAATCTTCTCAAAAACTTCTTGAGACGGTAGAGTCTCGTGCTGATAACGTGTTATAAAACAATAAAAGAAGAAGAATAATATTGCAAAGAAAAGTAGGGAGAGAGAATTCTTATTGATTTTGGAGTGAATTACAATGGAATAGAACCCTCTTTTATAGGTAGAGGGTGACTTAGCCACCAAGTAATAAACCCTAAAGTCTCTCTAAATATAGACATTCACCATAAATAAAATTTTATTTATAACATTTCAAAACCTATTTTACTTTTTTTTTTTTTTTGAAAAAATATGAAACATGACTTATACCCATAGTCTTGAACATAAATAAATTTGGTACAAAATTATAATTTTTATAATGAAGTACATAATACATTATCAGATGACCAAGAAGACAAAGCAGTATTGTTACAAAATAACAAATGGTAGGCTATTTTATAAAATATAGAAGTTTGGGCAATTTTTAAAAAATGTAATAGTAATATTTTGGGCCAAAACCAGCTCTTGAACTGGTTTTGGGATTTGGGGGAATTTGCCACAAAATGGATATACTTTATGAATAAACATGTATTTGCTAAAATATATATATATATATATATATATATATATATATATATATATATATATANCAATTTTCAATCACCA